GAGGTGCTTTCGGAAATGTATACTATAATGGTACGAAAAGTGCTAAATGGTACTATGTTTGGAATTTGGTGAAGGGAAAAAGCTGAAATCCTCAAATTTGATATTGAGGTATCTGGAAATGGGGTATGGAGGCGAAAAGTAATAAGTGATACTAAATTTGGTATTGGTTGAAGGAATAGAGTCGGAATCCTGAAATTCGATATATGACTATGAACGAACGAAAAGTGCTAAATTTTACAAAATGCACTGTTGGGCGTTGAAATAGAGCTGAAATTCTGCAATTTGATATTGTGGTCATAACTGTTGGTTCTTAGGGTTTACATATGGTGTCGTTCAAATAATTTTGGACAGAAAAATTTGATGTGGGCCCATTGTGCTATGGTTTTCTAGTAGCCTTCTCGGCAAACTTCAAATAAAAGAATTTGAAGACTTTTTGGTGTAAAACTTAATCATTTTCCTATTAATCTTTTCGAAAAAGGAAAGACTTGGATGATATATGAATCCTTGAGAGTCGGAAAAATTTTGTACGATGTATGAGTTTAATTAAAAATCTTGTCAAACAAAGAATTCAACCATTTTGACTACTAACAAGTAAAAAAGCAGTGAGTTCGGTCGGACTTTGAATACCCTCTACCATTTGGAACGAATTTGACAATTTTCAAAAAATAAAATCCGTTAAAAATTCTGTTAAAATCTTAAAAATGCGGTATGTAGCCGTTATATTAGTGTCTATACGACGACGTGGACCTGCATAGGCAACTTTGTCACTAGCCATTAAAATATTCAAATGCGAAGCTTGAAAAAAAATCGGTAAATAATGTAACTATAGGTAGGTACCGTTATATGGTGGCTATATGAAAACGTGGACCTTGTAGTTCGCATTACGAACTCTAAATACGAAATTTGAAACTATTCGGGTAAATAATGACGCTAAAATCATCAAATACCGAATATTGGAAGGTACCGTTATATAAGGCTATACGAAGACGTAGGCCTGGACAGACAATTTTCTTTCATAGGCTCTATTATCCATTACGAACTTCAAATGCCAAATTTGAAACAATTTCGATAAATAATGTCGCTAAAATCATCAAAATACCGAATATCGGGAGGTACCGTTATATGGTGGCTATATGAAATCGTGGACCTATATGACTCACGGCAAAATAAATATGTGTGCAAAATTTTAGCCTTCTATCTCAATTCGTTCGAAAGATAGCGTGATTACAACAAACAGGCAGACACACAGACGGATGGACATCGCTAAATCGACATAGAATTTTACGCTGACAAAGAATATATATACTTTGTTGGGTCTGACTTGAGTATTTTGAGGTGTTACTAACGGAATGACAAATTTAATATACCCTCCAGAGTGTGGTGGAGGGTATAAAAAGGCTTAACACGAACTGTTGGAACGAATATAACATCATAAGGTGGACTTTTCGCTGGCGAAGTATCGGTCACTTGCTAGTATTTATATAAAACGTAGGTCAGCACTGCTTCTCGTAAATTCCCCCAAAAGGTTAAAATGTTGAACAATTCAAACTCTACACCCTTTTCAGGTGTAATTCAAAATATTTTTATTGTAATTTGAGAATTCGATTTGAAATTTGAATCATTCGGATTGTAATTTGAATTATTCCATTTGTTCGAATTGTTTTAATTAAAAAATCGAAACTATTTGAATTACAATTGGAATAGTTCGAAACATAAATGGAGTCATTCGAACTACAATTCCAATAATTGAATTACAAATGAAAATCTCAAATTACAAATGAAATGTTACGAATTAAATCAAAAATTATTCGAATTACAACAAAAAAAGGTGTAGTATAATGAGGAATCAGTTTCAGATTTTCTGCAAACTTCGAGGGTATATATCTGATGTAACACAAACTAAAACATCCTAACATTATTCGACCTCTTTTGGCTATAATAAAGTACGGCAACTCGCTGCAAAGAAGGTCAGACTTTTCGAAGGTTACTTCTGATTTTTATACACTACACCACAAGGTGGTCAGGGTATTATGACTTTGCGCATTTGTTTGTAACAGGCAAAAGAAAACGAGATAGTTCCTTTTGATGATCTGCATAGAATCACATTCTGAGTCGATTTATGCATGTCCGTCCGTCTGTCCATGTATTTTTTTAAACAAAGTACAGTTCGCATTTATTACCCGATCCAGATGAAATTTTGCACAAATCATTTGTTTGGCCCAAGGACAAGCCCTATTATAAATTGGAGATAATCGGTAAAAATTTAGATATATCTCCCATATATAACTTCGTCCGATTTGCCTTTTATTGTGCACCAAAGGTGTAATATCAGCCCGAATAGTATGGAATTTTGCATATACAACCAAATTAGGCCTGAAAATAAGTATGCCAAATTTGATCGAAATCGGTTCAGATATAGCTATAGCTCCCATATATATTGTTCATCCGATTTGTTATTTTAGTCCTCCGCAGCCGTAATATGCACTCTGTAACAACAATATTTGGAAAATTATATCAAATACAGCTCAGAAATACCTTTGCTAAATTTTATCGAGATCGGTTTGGATTTGGAAATATCTCCCATATATATAACTTCGTCCGATTTACCTTTTATTGTACACCAAACGTCTAATATTTACCCAAATGGGATGAAATTTGGCACATACTACCGAATTGAGTCCGGAAGCTATTATGTCAAATTTGGTGAGGATCGGTTCAGATATAGCTATAGCTCCCATATATATTGTTCATCCGATTTGTTATATTTGTTACCCGCAGCCGTAATATGCACTCCGTAACAACAATATTTGGGGAAATATATGAAATACAGCTCAAAAATATGTTTGCCAAATTTTATCAAGATCGGTTCAGATTTGGATATAGCTCCCACGTATATATCAAATGGGCAATACAGGTCCGAATTTCAAAGATACAAATGCTTCCGCATATTTAGTCTTTGGAACTTTAAATTATAATTATTTCATATCGTGCATGATTAAATTCTCCCATAAAAATTTTTAATTGTTATGTGGAGCTCTACTAAATTAGCAAAGTGGTGAAGGGTATCATAAAGTCCGCTCCGCCCGACTTTAAGACTTTCTTTAATGATTTGGTATTTGTAAAGGTACGTTTTCATTAAACTTTTCGATATTATGTCACCATCCGGCTTTCAAAAACAATCGTATTGGTATTTTTGATTGTTAGAAAAAAATTTCAAAATTAATCGGAATAGTGTCTTTTGGAAAAGCGCTGGATGTGACACCTATTTCGGGTTTTTTTCTATGGAGGATAAAACAATTTTCATCCAAGTCTGTATCACGTCTATGTTTTATTTATATCCCAGAGCCTGAAAGCTGGAAAATCATTGAAAATAACTAGCAAAAATTAATCATCATTCCTCGTATCAAATTTAAGGCCATTAAATTAAAAAAGTTAACTTTTTTTACCAAACAAACAAAAAAGATAAGAATACCTACCTATTTTCATTAAAAAGAACTTCAAACGATTTAAGCGAACAGAAAAAAAAAACAAAACAAAAAAAAACAGAAACACACTTCAATCCTTACAACTGCCTGCTTGGCTGACTGACTGACCGTTCGTTGTCTGAACGTTAGCACGCTATGCTAATTTAAAGAGAATATAATACTTCTTACACAATTCTATTACTTTCACTGGTGGACGCCACCAAAAAAAAATCGAAAAAGCAAAAAACAAAAAAGATTAAATCGAGATGCTGGCAATTTACAAGTTGAATAACATTCATTGCCGCCTTCCCTCCAATTTTGTTTTGCATGGCAGCGACATCAAGCCAAGGTATAGACAGACAGGCATACATACACGTATAGAACTTACCCCAACTTCCTTTCACTCCGTCGTGGGCTCCACTACAAAGTTGCAAAAGAAGAAAATTTAAATTGCGAACATGTGGTGGCTGTTCAGCCTGACTGCCGTGTTGGCTGCCTAGCTGGCTGGCGGACTGGTTGGTTGGTTGGCCTGCAAACTGATCGAAGAGATTTACGTATACACACACACAACCATGCATACATCTTTGACGTTGTCCTCGTCATCGACATCATCATCGCCATCACCATCGCCATAGCCAGCATCAAACAAACGGAAAAAGTGTGTCAGACATTTTATATTAACATTCAATAGTATTTTCCGCTTGTACGCATTCTTGTTGTTGGCACTTGTCTTTTTGCTGGCAAAAAAGTTCTCCTATATGCAGCTCACACACCTTCGCACATCTGCATACATATAAAAGGGAGTCCCTTCGTTTACGTGCTTGCAATATCGAATACAATTTTGACATTTTGCTATTTACACAGAATACAAATACACAAAAACGACAGAGTTGCCGGGCGAATATATTTTTCATAAATTTGGTCGAAATATTTGTAGAGCGCAAATACAATGGCAAAATTAAAAGGTAAGATGTTCGTCAGTGAAAACGTCCCCCTTAAAATTGTAGATTTATTCCAACTGTTTGTGTTAGGCCTTTTTATGCCCTACACCACAAGGTAATCAGGGTATTATGTCTTTGTGCATTTGTTTGTAACATACAAAAGAAAACGAGTTAGACCCATAGTTACTTTTGAGGATCTCCATAGAATCACATTCTGTGTCGATTTATGCATGTTCGTCCGTATGTCCTCCTGTCTGTCCATGTATTTTTGTAAACAAAGTACAGGTCGCATTTATTGTCCGATCCAGATGAAATTTTGCACAAGTCGTTTGTTTGACGCAAGGACGAACCCTATTGAAATTGGAGATAATCTGTCAAAATTTAGATACAGCTTGTTGCGTTCATCCTCATTGTAAAATTTTTGTAATGTGCAATTTAATGCACCGAACGTGCTGAACGCCAGCCAAAAAAGAGAACCGGATACGCAGGGCGGCCGGCTAAATTTTAAAAAGTGATGCCAAGTTTCATGTTGTTTATTGTACAACATGAGAGACGTGTTGCAAAAATACAACACTGGGGATAATAGCGGGTAGGTAGAACACCTGATAAAGGTAAATAATAAATGTCAGGGAAATTGTGGGAAAATCTTGGAAAAGAGGGAAAGTTTGGTTGAGCGTCCTTGGTGGCCGTATATAAAGCACAGAGAGGGCGAAAAGCGCCATTATTTCAAAGTGGTGTGGAACAGAAACAGTTCAGTCAATTTTTAAATGTTTTTTTGTGAATATAAAAAGGAAATACTGAATTGGCAGTTACAATTTGTGTGTTTTATTGTTTTATTTGTGTGGCGTATCTAAACAATTTGTAAGTGTTGATTTGTAAGTGGTGTTATGTCGGATGTGTTGTGTTAAGTTTTTGTGTTCTATTTAGGAATAACGCCGCGCATAAATCCACAATTGGACAACGCCATCCGACTTGGACGAAAAAGAAGCGGGCATCCCCAACAATTATTTTTGTATCGCCAGGTGCGGCACAGGGGTTCCAGGCAACGAAAAGGTTCTGGAAACGGCCAAAAGACCTGGGAAACTGCCAGTGGATAGCCCTTGGAACAGGCAACAGTACCAATCCGGGAAGCTAACCAGTAGATCCCACCTAAAAATCTGTAAAAAGAAGATAAAAAGTTGCCTAAGTATGCCGTTGTGAAGGTAATGTAATTCAAAATTTAAGTTACTTACCAAAGAAAAGAAAGAAAGCCAAATCCCGCTGAAAAAAGTCATATGAAGTTCCTTTTCCTTTGACGGAAACACCACTGAAAAAAGAAAAAATATGAAATTCATCAATTAATCCGAATTTGACAAAAAAAAAAGAACCTATAAAAAATATTTGTTTGTTAGTGTGTAGTTTAGTATATAAGTTAAACGTATTGTTTGTAGTTAGATAAATAGTGCTTAAGATACAAATGTGAGGAAAATTAATGCCCATTAAATCTTATTTTTAGTGAGTGTAGGGTTGCCTCAAAATTTTACAGCTAGAAAATTTCGATTTTTCTGTTTGGGACAAGGATTTGAAATGCCCAAAAGATTTGTCTAAGTGAGCTCCTTTAGGCAGAAATTTAAAGTACTTGTATTGGCCAAAATTGGCGCTTCTAGCAGGGTAATAAAAAAAAGGTAATCTGAGTATTGACTCACAATTTTTGTTTTTCGTTCGGGTGTTAATAATCCAGTTTTTTTTATGAGTTCGTGTTGAAATTAGTTTTAAGAGAACGATAATGATTCTAATAAATAAGCTTAATGTCTAATTGTCTAAAGAAATAATATGTTGTGCTAAATTTTGTTTGTGAGAGAGGAGGTTAGGCGTTGTAAGTGAGTGTGTGTGGCTTTTTGGGGCCCTTTTTACATTTTTTTTTTTTGAGTGTATTTGGACTAAAGGGTCAAGGATGGGTGGGCATAGTGGGGGAGCAATAATATCAAGCTCCTGTGTCATAGGTGTATGTTGTGTATGTTTGTTTTCAGATTTTCTGTGTTTGTGTTTATTCCAGTACAATTCTTTAAGTGTTCATTCCCTAGGGTTGATGGTGGCAGGGTTGAGAACCCCCTGGATTAACCGCTCCCTCCTGAGCTAGTGCGGAACCCCACCATAACGCCGAGTAGGCAGAATGTAACAAGCTCCCATATATATCTTCATCTGATTTGCCTTGTATTGTGCAGCAAACGTGTAATATCAGCACATTTAATGCACAATTTTATCAAAGTCGGTTCATATATAGCAATAGCTCCCATATATATTGTTCATCCGATTTGATGTTTTTGCTCTCCGCGGCCGTAATATGCACTCTGCAACAACGATATTTGGGGAATATCTCAGAAAATACCTTCTCAGAAATACCTTTGCCAAATTTTATCGAGATAGTTTCCTGTATCCAAGTTCCCATATTTGCTTTTTATTGTGCACCAAGCGTGTAATATAGGCCAAAATGGGATGGGATTTGACAATTACGACCAAACTCAGCCTAGAAACTAGTATGTAAAATTTAGTGAAAATCGGTTCAAATATAGCAATAGCTCCTATGTATATTGTTCGTCCGATTTTTTATATTTTTTATTTGTTATATGAAGCTCTACCAAATGTTCAAAGGGGTGTAGGTTATCATAAAGTCGACCTCGCCCGACTTTAAGACTTTCTTTACTGGTTAGTACTCAAAATGCACAATTTGTACAGTTTATAAAGATTTTTAAATCAAATATTCTTACATCGCACTAAAATTTTCAAACTTTCAAGGTTTTATATATTATTCAGATTTTTTTGTTTTTCGGAAAGATTAATAGAAAAATGTTTACCTTAGACACCAAAAAGTTTTCTAAATATTTAATTTTTAAGTTAATTGAGGAGAATATTTTTGTAAAACCATTGCACAATGGACCCACATCCAATTTTTCTGTTCATAACTATTTCGACGTCTCCATATGTAAACCCTAGATTCCAAGAGTGACCTCAACATTACCTCCATTCCTTAACCAATTACTAAATTTAGTAGCATTAGCTACACATATGCAAAACAATCCGCATCTCCATCTTAGACAACAGTGATCCAAAATTAATACCTCACCAGACACCAATAATGACATCTATACCAAATTTCAAGATTTCAGCACCATTTAGTATTTTTCGTACAATTATAGTACATATTTCCAAAATCTCAATTCCAGATGCCAACGGAGACATCAATATCTAATTTGAGGATTCATTTAGTACTTCGCGTACATACATAGTACACATTTCGAAACCACCTCCAGATCTCCATCCCAGATACCAACAAAGACCTCAATATCGAATTTCGGGATACCAGCTCCATCCTTTCACCCAATAACAATTTTAGTACCACTTAGTACTTTTAAAACAACTATAGTACATCTTTTCAAAACCAACTCCATATGTCAATCACAGGTACCAAGGCGGGCATTTATATCCAATTTGAGAATTCCGGCTCTATCGCTTCATCCAATACCAAATTTAGTACTATTTAGTACTTTTCGTACAAATATCGGATAAATTTCCAAACCGCCGCCAAACCTAAACATAGATCGCATCAGTAATCTTAATATAACCTTTCTAAATTTTATCTCTATCCCTTCGCCCAATACCAAATATAGTAGCTTTCTGTACTTTTGGTACATTTATCTACACATTTCCAAAACCAACTCCATATCCCAATTCCAGACACCAACAGTGACATCTATATCAAATTTCGGGATTCCACTTCTATACATTCACTCAATGCCAAATTTAGTAAAATTTTGTACTTTTCCTAAAAATATCGATATCGCCATCAAAATCGACAATGCGACTATTTTGGTTGGACCTATGTTCTACGCGCTATTTAGGTATAGGGAAGGGTTCAGAAATGCATCCGTTAATAATATTTCGATGGCGGATTTTAAAATAACAAGGGGAATTTGCCACCTAAATGGCGCCCAATAAGGTAGTTTAGGTCTCTGAAGTTGTTGAAAGCGGAAACCACCAAAAATTGATTTGAATATAGATAGCATTGAGGAAGGATCTGAAAATCGATTAGTTAATAATCTTTGTACAAAATGTACCTGGCTAGTGGCGATAGAATACCCAGTAAGAATCTGGGAACAGATGAATTAAGGATAAATAATCTCTACAATAATATTTTCACGATAATCGCCCTTCAATTGGCGCCTGATGATATAGTAATGATCTCTAAATATAATACAGATCTCCGAAATCTTCATTAGATACAATCAATACTAAAAATGAGTTTGAATAATTTTAAGCCGGATTTGCTGTAAATTGGCAGTCTGTGTTCCCAGTATGTAGGAAACGTCCTTGCATAGAACCGTCTATTTATGTCAGAAATTTGGTATAGTCCCCACATAACTGTACCTTCAGATATTCGGTATGTTGATGATTTGTGTTAAACTTTTCTCTGCAATTGTTTCAAATTTGGTATTTGGAGCTTGTAACGGGTACAACACTGATGATAGAAAATTACCTTACAGGTCCACATCTTCATATAACTCCCATATAACTGCACTTATATTTGGTGTTTTGACAATTTTTTAAACACCAGAATTATTTCAATATCGAAATTCAAATTCGCATTGGGCCCAGCTGGCTGTGAAAAAACATTGCCCTACAAATGCACGTCTTCGTGTAGCCCACACATAACGATGCTTCCCACTATTCGATATTTCGAGGAATTTCGCTACATTTAGTAACAGAATTATCCGAAGGTTGGTGTTTGGATCTCGTAACTGGCACCACTTCTCTGACAGATAATTGACTGTAAAGTCAACGTTTTCATATAACCTAATTGCACAATCCTTCTATATTTTGACCCGAAACTTAGCTACTTTTTTACTTGTTAGACAATATTTCTTTTTTTGGAATGATACAAAAACGCAGCCGATAAAGCCTTCAACTGACGATCGATGTCACAGCAAAGATCTCTCAAATGAGTCCGAAAATCTAAAAATGGGTTCGAGACTATTTTACATTAAATTGGGATGATTCGGATGATATGGAAGGATTTAAAATAACTGAGGTAATAACATTTATGCTGAATGTACTTCGGAAGCAGAAGTTGTTGAAAACATTTAAGCTGATAATCAATTCGAACCTCAGTCGGCAAAAAACTAATATTGATGTGCAGTATACCTCAAAAGTGGCTTGCAAAATGTTGTGCCAAACGGTCATTAATTGTACTCGGACACATAGCTAGATCCACTCAAATAAAATACGGAAAAATCCCCTAAATAACTTCAATTTGATTTTGAATATAAAAAGACGCCGCCGTCAGATTCAGGAAAAAGGCCCTGACTCTAAAACCAAGAAATATAATCCTATTAAATCTTTACTATTCAATGAATTCATTGACAATTTAATGCCCAATAAAATCAGGCGACGGCAACACTGTTTACCACACACACAAGCACCTACTTTGTATGACTGAGGGAGAAAAAAAACGACAATAATAATGTTGAAGAACCATAAAAAAACCAGAGAAATCAATCATTTGTTTTGGTCATGCTTTCTAGCAGAGAGACAAGTGTGCGGCAGCAACAACAAACACGCACACACAAACATACATTTTAACTGTGCAAACAAAGTTGTTATTGTAATAAAGCCCGTCCAGTAGCAGTAAAACAAAACGCAAATAAACAGGGACACACACTCACACATTGTATGGAGAACAGTTAGGCATGGCATGTTCTCTTTTACTCCTCAAGAGTTTTTTCACAGTTTATGGAGAATGTATGGTGTGTGTGCAAGAGAGAGAGAAAAATTAAATCACTTGATGTGTGCTTTGTGTGAGAACGAAAGAGCAATTGAATTCATTGCAGTGGCGAATGCGTGTGAAAGAAACAGCAAACGAAGTTGATAAAACCGATTACTTGGTAACCGCTCGTTTGTTTCAAATGGGGGGTTGTTTAGTGTTTTTGTCTCGTTTTTTTCTGTGGCATGAAAATAAAACATCCTTGTGTTTGCAAGGGATGCTGAAGATGCCATCGAATACATCTCCCCTCTTTTCCCTCCCACCCACCTTCTTCCACCACCTTTCCTCCCTTCCGCTTTAAACAAAACCTAACGAAATGAAATGATGATAATAACCATAAGCAAATCCGGTCGTCGTTCTGTTGCCACCACCACCGTCGCCACCACATTAGTTAGAAAAAAACCGTTAACATTCTCTGCCACTGCCACTGCCGCCGCCACTGTCTCTGTCAACGTCGACATCAAAGTTTTCGCTGAGACGTTGGTTTTCATGATCCTTAATTTGGTTATGTTTTATATCATGCTCTACTCTTGGCCTGCATATCATTTCAAATCAGATCGAACGCGTCGACAACGAGGACAGACGTAGCTTATCAAAACTCACGTTTTTCCTCGATTATTGCGAAGTCTTTGTTATTTCTTTTGCGCCTTTTAAAAAGGGAAAATTAATTAAATTATTTTAGATTTTAAACGTTGCATTTTAAAGTTTCGTGGCCAAACTCAAAGTTTAACCCAGTATTGCGGGAGAATAGAATCTGCAATCCTCTGCCACGGGGACACGCAGACGTTGACGTAGCCGGGCATCTCGTTTTGGTTTTTTGCTCCCCTCCCCGAAAACAATTTTCCACAGCAGACAGACATTGTCGTTGCCATCGCCATTGCCATCGTTTGGGCCACGTCCGAAGTTGGCATATGTTGAACTTTGTGTATGTATGTTTTCTGTAACTTTCTATGTGTGCGTGTGTGTATGTGTGTGTCTCTGTGCGCCTTGGTACTATTCCGAATATTCCTTTGCCGCAGTCTATCATCATTAGTTGACGCTGGATCGAGTTAAATGAAAAACGCAAATTTCATTATTCGCCAAACAGTCGTCGGTGTCATCGTATTTATTATTGTTGTTGGAGTTTTCCTTGATTAAAATTAACTCACCAGCAGCCAAGCCCAGCCAAGTCAAGCCAAGTGTATTGAAGTCAAGTCAAGTTATCCTGCCAAGTAGTCCCATTTCTATGCACCTTGAAATCGTGTTTGTTTTCTTTTCTGTGGACCGATTCATTGACACGCGTCGCAGTTAATTCCGATTTGCCAAAGAAAACAAAAAAACCAAAATCCGTAACGGAGTTTCAAAACTTGGTCTCGGTCGTTCGCTGGATACGTGCATTGAACGGAAATTAAATTTTCTATTATTTTTGTAAACATTAGAAAGTGCCAACGTAAACTCCACTCGAAATCGTGGAAAAAAAAAACAAAACTAATTATTCAAGCCAAGAAAAGTGAAAATATTCCAAAAAAAAAAGAAAAATTTTAAAATAAAATAAGTGTCTGAATCAAAAAAATAGTGTGTTGAAAAAAACCCAGATTTTATCCTTCCAAACAGCCAACACATAAATCGCTACAACGAAATCTCCCACACCGCATCACCTAACCTCAGCTATTAACGACCTCAACGCGGACAGTGTCAAATACTTCCCATTGGATTATCCTGGTGACTTTTTCAAAACGTATATCGATTCGAGATTTTACGCCGGCCACAAATTGGATTTCAAACAACAAAATTGTGCCGGCGGCCCGGGTTCTGGTGGTGGAGTCGTCGGCAATAACAACAACAGCCATCCAACAGCGGCGGCCACAAATCATTTGTCCGCCTCAGCGTCGGCACCGTTGCACGGTCTAGCGGCCCATACGGCGGCCCATCAGTCGCATCACTCCCTCTTGAATACCCATCACGCATTACAACAACATCACCAACAACAGCAGCAGCAACAACAACAACAGCAGCAACAACATCAAACCACACCATCACCTTCCATACAATCCAATCAACAGCAACAACAACAATTGCACTCCAGTGCAGCGGCCTCAAATAATCCCACATCTCTGGGTTCGCTGAACCCCTCCATTGCCACCAACGGTAGCGGTAATCCGCCGGGAGCCGGCAACAGTTCACCTGCAACAGCCGGTATCCATCCCACCCAGGATACCCACTCCTCGTCGTCGGTACCACCCGTTGCAACCTCACTGAGTGCTCCCTCCCTGCCGCACATAGCACCCACTTCCCTGGGTCTCAGTCCCCAATCCTCGGCCGATTCCCAGCAATTTAACATCTTCCCTGCCATCTTTAGTCGACAATTGAATTTTTCGGCCGCCGCTGCCGCCGGAGGCTGTGGCCAGGGAAAACTCACCATGGATGAGCTACGACCGAATCTAGTCGGTGGCCTTTTGGGCCTGCAACAGGGTCTGCTGGAGGATCATGCCGCCAGCATGCAACATGGTGGCGGTGTGCCCCAGGACACCAAGTTCATGTCCTTTCAAGATAATCGCCTAATGGGCATTGGTTCCTCACACGAAAATCGCCTTCTGGGACTAAGCTCTTCGGTACAAGACAGCCGCTCGCCCGCCGCCACCACCTCCATTGACAAGAATCCCCTCAATCATCAGCGGAAGTGCAGCAGTACTCCGGAGGATTTTAGTTCATTGTATTCCGGATTACCCACACCTGGCATTGATTCGTCGTCGCATCATCACACACCCGCTCATACGCCGCCAACAAGGCTGTCGGACCACACGATATCTGGTAATTATGCCTCTATCCTCAAACTTAATTCATTCATTTATTCTTTTAATCCTTTCATTTGTCCACGTGGAATTTGCCAAAATGACCATCGGCTTCTGAATGGTTTTTAATCCCAGCATCAGCTTCTAAATGCTCCCCTGGAAGGCTGTTAATCCGTTCAGGCATCTAATTACAATAGTTTGCATTCTCTTCTTGCTTTTCTTTTGTGGTTAACTCTCTTTATCCCGAAAAACATATGCCTTCCCTTCAATGCTCCCATAGAAGCGTGTGCGTGTGAGTCTGTGTGTTTGTTTGTTTATCCATAATAAAGTGGGCACACGCTTCAAGGATTATGGCGAGTGCCAATATTTGTATGACTTTTGTCGTTTTATGTGTTTTGATGAGTCAATTGTTTGTTGACATTTGACACTTAATTGTTTTGCGTGACAATGACGGCAAAAAAGGTGTTAAATGAGAGAATGGAGAGCAATTAGCAAATGCTGGTCTCACAGTTGACAATTCAGTTTTAGGTAAATTAAATAGGTTACTATATGGGTTGGTGGATCTCAAGGGCTCCTTAATATGAAAATATAAGTATAAACCTAGTACGATAGACGCGAGAAAACTTAGAGAAATTATCATTTCGAATTTATCTCTCGCACCCACAAAACTTCCATTGTTTTTTTAAGCTATCTTCTGACCCGAAATCAAAGTGGAATTCTAAGCTTATTTAACCAGTTTCACTCATCTCTTGTAGTTAGGATACTCTCCAAAAAAGAAAAATAAAACTAAAATACTCCTTCCAACTTTCCAGGGCGCACGAGTAAATATTTACCCGGCGGGTAGCGCCCAATATCATAGAAAAACTTTGAATTGATCCTATGTACCATTTATTAGAAAAGATTGTGAAATGAATTCAATAACAGTATTTCCATGAACTCTCCATGTGAACATCTTGAATTTAACTAAGTGACGTTTTTAAAATTGACGAAAGCATTTTTATTTTGTTTGATACAACAACAGCTGAATACTGATAGAATCCTCTGTATCATTAGGGATCTGATTTTCGAATTGGTACCTAGAAATCTTTGGGGGGCTATCACCCTCTAAGAAAACTATGGGTAGCCCAATAGCATAGGAAAACTTAATGCAATTGTCAAGAAATTAAATTGATCCTATTTACCATTTATTAGAAAGAATTCTGGTACGAATCATATAAGAATACTTTATGGTTTACCTTATGGAAGTTGATGGAAGCATTTTTGTTTGATGCAATGACAACTGAATCACTAAGGATCAGATTTTCGAATTGGTGCCTGCGGAATAGACCTGTGGAGGGCTATCACTCTCTAAGAGTACGCTGGGTAGTCTTGAATGGGCGCATTGTATCACGACCCGGGTGCAATGGTTGGAGCCGTCAAGGTGAAAATCATGTGAAACTCCCTCGACTTCATATAAGTGGCGCCCGATAAGTGGCGCTCATCTTCATACGAAGTGCCATTGAAATCTTGGGAAAAAGTCTTTGTTTGGTATTCTGATAATTGGTTCTACCCTTTATATTATATATTGAAAATGATTCAGAAATATATTCAATTATAGAATTTTCATTGAAATCACGCTTTAGATGGCGTCCAATTGTAAAAGGATTCAGAAATTAATATGAAAATAACATTTGCACAATATATAGAAAGCCTAGGCCTTTTTTTTTGTAAAACTGACTCCAATATTTCAACGGAAAGTGGTGGACGAACTTTGGTAATTGGAAAGCAGTCACAAAAGATTGAGGTAAACATGTTCGTGCTAATATACATAAAAAGTAGCGCCCAACTGTATTGGAAGTACATTTGAAATTTTGGGAAAACTTTTTTGTTTGGTACAACCACTACTGAAAATTGGTTTGATAGTCTCGCAAATGTGGAGCCCAATTGTATATCAATGGCCGCTGGAAATGTGGAGAACATTTTTGTTTGGCATATTCTCAGTGAATAATTGATTCGAAACTTCTTCTTATCACTTTCGGACTTATTTATTATCGAATTATTCGATAATAATATTTCCCCGGAAATCACCTTTCAAGTGGCGCCCAACTGTTTAGCGTCTGGAATTATAGGGAAATTTTTTAGTTTGGCGTCACCACAGCTGATAATTATCTATTATATTATTTATCGGAAATGACTAAGAAATATATTCAATAATAAAATGTTCATAGAAATTACGCTTTAGGTGGCGCCCAATGGAAAATTTCTCTAAAGTTGTGGTAAGGGAGGATTCAGAAATTAAAATGAAGATAACATTTGAACGTGAAAAATTGCACACAATTATATACAATCATAATCATAATTGTGCGGAGTGTACCTGTAAGTGGATCCCATGTGTATAGGGAGTACTTGGAAACTTTGGGAAACCCATTTTGTTTTGTACAACCACTGCTTAAAATTAGTTCCATAGTCTCTGAAATGTGGCGCCCAATTGTATATTAATGGCCTCTGGAATTGTGGTAACATTTTTTGGCCTATCCTCAGTGTATAATTGATTCGAAACTTCCTATCACCTTGTGACTTATATATTATTGTATTCGATAATAATATTTCCCCGGAAATCACCTTTTAAGTGGCGCCCAACTGTTTAGCCTCTAAAATTGTGCGGACATTTTTAGTTTTAGAAATTAATATTAATGATATAATATTTGAACGTGAAAAGTGCACGCAATTGTATAGAAAGCTTGGGGAACGTTTTTTGTTTAATGGAAATTCGAGTTAAAAACTGACTCCAATATTTCAACGGGAAGTGGCGCCAGATCTTTGGTAATAATGAGAAGCATTGATTGAGGCAATCATATTCGTGCAGATATATATGAAAAGTGGCTCCCAACGGTGTCTTTTTTTGGTTTAGTACAACACCTGCTGAATATTGAAATTTTGCGCCCAGTAACATATCAATGACCTCTGGAATTGTGGGGAACATTTATGTTTGATCTATCCCCAGTGAATTTCAAATTGATTCGAACCTTCAAATTACTTTCTTACTTAATGTGTCAGTAATAAACAGCTTGCCATCATGGCTAGGCATACTAATGTCAAATTATAAGAAAAAACGACAGCAGGATTCGAGTGAGGCTCTGGCATCCCTTTATGATATTTCCCAAACTTTGCCTTGCGAAGACTTCATGAGTTAGTTTGGTCCAACCAGCACTCAAAATTAATTCGTATCTACATATCTGATTTCTATATTATTATAAAAAACTAGATGATCATTGTTCCGTAGAAATTGCCCTTCAATTGCCGCCCGGTAGTTATCATACTATCGTCTCCGAAATTGTGTGTAAAATCTTTGTTCGATACAACCAAAGCTTAAAATTGGTTCGAACCTAATTGGGAATAATTCGTCTAACAAAGAAGTATTCAGAAATTATTAAGGGAATATTTGTGAGAAATATAAGTTAGAAGTGGCGCCCAATTTCATATCAAAGGCATTAGAAACAGTGGGGAAAACCACAACTGAGAAGTTATTCAAGTTAGGATGCTAATATAGTTACGACGGACGTTTTCTGTAGTTTGTTAAAAGAAAATTCAAATCTGTCTAGCCCGCCTTCTTTTTCTTTCCGACAAGAAATAATATTTTCTTTACAAGTAATGTGTTATTTTTATACCGGAAGATCTGTCGACAAATATCTCCATAGAGTTTCATTCATGGTAGAATTAAGAAGTAAAACTCAATTCAAATAATTATATACAGTTCTGCATTTTCTATAATTTACCTTGTCAAATATCACTGAGTAGAAAACAGGTTCCCATCTCCGATTTGTGTATATACAATGGATTTATAAAAATAAATGAGATGATGTCAAATTAACATTTTTGAAAAAAATTGTGATTGCTTGATTTGGCATTCTTAATTCTACAATGGTTTGATTCAGTTTGATGTTGAAAAGTTACATCAAAAGACTGATCAAAGTTATTTTTGGAAATTCAGTCGTCTGAGATAGTTGTTATATATTTTGTGAGATTCTGTAGGCTCAGTCTTACCGGTTTATATATATGCATTACATTTCCTTCAATGCATATAGTAGAATATTCATAATTGCACTGAGGGCTTTCGTATGACAAGTACTCAATGCCCGGTCACCCCATGGCCTTCGAGATCCTTAAAGGAATCCATATGGGAGTTACCTTTCAAATAAATAAGTTAAGAATACTGTTTCGAACACTCCTGGGCGTTAAAGTACAAGTTTACCCGCCTTGTGGCGCCCAATTGCATAGAAACTTCCACGAACATCATCGTTGCTCGCCATTTTCAAATTCCACACTACCGAAAATTGTAGAAAACTTGTTTCGCTAAATAGAGACAGATCACTTAAGAAACCATTTAATTATTTTTTGTCAAAATGTTGAGGTCGTGGTGCAACACAAAGGCATGTTATTATTTTTAAAACCACACCACTGTGATAAGAATTGCTATTTCGATTATATTATATTAGTGCGTTGGTAATTATATGCAGCCTAATAAATAGAGAAACCTCAGAAGATCCTAGAATTATTAATTTTCGTTGCCAGTGACCGGTTAGCACCGCATTAGTCTTGGGCTAATCAGGAACTTTGTATGTTTAAAGTTGTAATGTGGCTATGCAAATTTTGATATTTTACAAGTGTCAGTCTTGTCCAATCTGAGCTCTGCTTGTGAAAGATAGTATTTGAAGATATCACCTTTAGCTACAGCCGGCTTTGGAAGCTAGTTAGTTCGCCTTTTCTTTATCAAAGGACCTTATGACCTGGGTTCCAAGTTATAACTATTATGGTTAGACGACCTAGCCGAGCAGGTTCTTCTTTACTTTCTTTTCCTAGCTTTGATGTGACAATATTTGAATTCAATACTAGGAGCGCAGTTTGACTGTCGACAACAATTTCCATTGAATCTGGTTTTATGACCATTATCTCCCTGGAAAATACTGCAGTCTTTAGATAGCTTTGTGGATCTACATATGTTTGCTTCTTCCGACTAGACACCAGGGCTGACTCCATAGTTCATCTGTCTCTCCACACTATCCCCTTCTTGCCAAAAAAATAAAATTGAATCTCTGGTTTTATATTTAATTCTACAACATTGTCAGATATAGCTCGAAACATTTTATTTCATATTCGAGAATTCTTTTTGTAATTCGTAACATTCCATTTTAATTTCGAATTATTTAATTTGAAATTAGTTTTTTATATTTGTAAATTCCAATTATCTTATTTAAAATTCGAATTATTCCATTTGTAATTTCAATTACTCCACTTGAAATTCGAATAAAATCGGTAACATTTTTTGAATTGGTTTCATATCTGCTTTTTGCAATAACAAATAAAAGAATTCCAATTACATGTAAATAATTCAAATGGAATAATCCAAAAAATGAAAAATTCAAATTAAAAATGAATTATTTCGAATTTTAAAATACGATTTTAAATATACGAATTACAAATGGAATTCTCGAATTACAAATGACAAAGTTCCGCTTTCAAAAAAATAATCTATTAACATATTTTGAATAGTTTTTTTTTCTTATTTGTTCTATCAAAGTTATGCGTTCAGCACTTTCACCAAAATTGTGATAACAAATAACAAAAAGAAATGCAAACATGTAACATAGTTAAAGCAAGTTACTGTAGAAGTTTCAACCGTTTTTGAAAAAGTCTTATACACCGAATAAAACTAATTCATTGTAATGGCGCCCAACGTATGTATTAATGTTCCATAGTTTGCTAACGAACTAGTTCAAAAAACAATTCATTGAAAAGAGCATATAAACTAGGACACAGAGAGAAAAGATAATCCGATTTTGTTCCAACTTTGCAAATCCTAATATTTGCATCAGTGATAGGTCATGTGCGAAAATCAACAATATCGACTTACTCCATCAAGTGTCAAAATTTTGAATAATTATTATATTAATCCAAGGTCTGGTGTGAAGATGGAACATATCGGTCCATTCCCGTTGGTACCTACCCCACAAAGGGTCAAAATTTTGAATAACCAAAACCATTATAGATTATAGAATCCGAAATAAGCATCCGGTTCTCTATATATTTCACACATCCCATTATTTCTACTAAAACTAGATCTGATATGAAGATGGGATATTTCGGTCCACTCCTTCTGGTACCTTCCCACAAAGGGTTAGAATTTGGAATATCCACGAATATCGTAAAACGAGAAATAAGCATCTGATTCTCTTCAAATTTCAAACATCTCAATACTTCTACTAACAAAAGATCTGCTGTGAAAATGAGATATATCGGTCCACTCCTTCTGGTACCTCCACCACAAAGGGTCACAATTTTCAATATCCATTAAACTTATAAAACGCTAAATTAACATCCGATTCCATTCAGACTTGGTTCACCTCAATATTTCCGACAACACCAGATCTGTTGTAAAGATGGTAGAGATCGCACCATTTCTTTTCGTTCCTCCTCCACATAGGGTTCAAAATTTTTGAAAAACAAAACGTTAAAAAAACCGAAATAAGTATCCAGCTCTCTTCAAATTTCATTCATACAAACATTTTTGCTAACGGAAGATCTGTTTTGAAGATGATATATAACTGCGAACCGCTTCCTGTACCTCACCCTAAAAGTGTCACAATTTTTAATATTTTTATCAGCGATTCTTTACAATTTGCTATATCTAAATATTTCTCTCAACCAGAAACCTGAGATGAATATGGAATTTATCATTTCGTAAAAAATTGGATATAAATGTTCGATTTTCTTATAATTTTGCCCATACCGATATTTCTTTCTGTATTAGATGGAGTATAAAAATGGAATACTTCGATCGACTATATCTGGTACCTCACTGACATTTTAACATTTTCTAAATATTATCACATTTAGGTTTAAATGCTTTTAATGTCGAATACACAAAAGTGGCGCCCAATATAGCATTTAACAATTCTTGTCTATATATTTTTTTCCTCAAAAAGTACGACTATTTTTAAAACTCTTTCTACTTCTAATGGCAAACAAATTCCTTAGAATATCATAAATGTCCTCGTTTATGGAAAAATTCCCAAAAATAATTTTCTCGTTATTGCAAAATGCCAGCTGACAAAATCAAGGTTAAAATCCTGAATTTTAATTGGAATAAAAATGTTACCTCGATTAATGAAAATATTTGCATAAATTATCCCAAATGTGACCTACACGAGCCACCAAAGATCTAAGTGCAAATTGAGTGTCTGTCTGTCCGTTCGTCCGTCCATCTGTCTGTCTGCTAGTTCTGTCAGCAGTCAATTTTTATGCTTTTCATTCATGCCAACACCATCTTGACAAGGCACATTTTAACCTGTGCGCAGGACAAGTCTGTTGCTGTTGTTTTTGTTCGTTCATGTTCCAGACGAAAATATGGAGAAGAAAAGAAAGCAGAAGAAGAAGTAGATATCCTGCCAAAAATAAGTATAACAAACAAATGATGCCACTTTGGCTGCCTGCGTAGCAAAAATATTAAATAGTGAATTCGCCGAAGACCAGTGGCGAACATGAAGAGCCCATTCCCGGCATTCCCTTGCCAATCTTGTGGCCGCCATTGAGGTTGGTTAGTCCTAATTATTCATAATGTGTCCCGATTTTTTGCGTGTTTTGATGTTGTAATTAATGCAGGGTCAGTCGCCGCTTGAAGGTGACTCTTAAATGCCGAATGAATGAATAATAAGTTTGTTTAAATACATTTAGGTGAGACCGAGTCAACAAGGTAAGGATATTGAATAACACGGTTATGTTGTTAAATACCCTGAAAGTAGTTATGGAAATGCTACTTCGACGGTACACCGTGATAAGGTTATGGCAAATTTCACTTTTATTTAATATATTCGGAAATTTTCCAACTGAATATCATCATCCATCCTCACATTCCCATAATTACATTTCAACTCTCTCTCTCTCCCCCCCTCTCTCAACCTAATTTGCCTAATTTCTTATCATGTATAAATATTCATGCATATGTATGTTTGCCTCTCTCTCTCTCTTTGCATGTGTGCCGCAGCGGAAGGTGCTTTTAAGAAACTGAAACCTGAACCAAGCACGGGCCTTTCATCCGTTTCCAGCGGCATAACATCACCAGGAAGTGGTCTATCATCGTTAAGTCACCATGCCGGCCATACTCCAACCACAGCATCATGTCCAACGCCAGCGAGACGAAGACATCGAACGACATTCACACAGGTCAGTACTTTTGTTAATAACTAAATGACGTCACGTCACTTCAACTCTTGGCTGGATGCATGCCGCACATGTGGCCACGTACAGAGCATATGAGTTTTGAAATCGACATCTGACTTGAGAAGTGTAGAAAACTTCCGTCAACTTAGATTCCCTAAATAACTATCAGGGCGATATGTGTGCCTTAAGTTTTCCGTGTATACATGTACAGGTGATTGTGTGTGCGTGGGTATTTTGCATGGATCGTGTAATTGAAGTAGGAGACATGTGAAATGTGTGAGGAATATAGATAAGCTATTTAAATTATTAACGGATTAAATTTAAAGGAAGAGAAAATAGGTCTTGGAAAAAAATAAAAGATCCAACTTCAACGGAAAACACCCAACGATATTTAAAATATCCAACCGTTAGTAATTGTAAAAATATTTAAAAAAAAACCATCTTGGAAACCATTTTAGACCTCAAAAAATATTTCTTTAAATCAGTACCGAAATGAAACTGAGTCAACCGAACACATTTATTCTTTTATGAAAAAGACAGCCGAAGACTTAATTTTCTAAACCTGTCTTATTTAAAAAAAATCTAGAAATTTTTCCTTAAATTTCCGCAATAGCATTCCAAGCATGGCAGAAAATACAGGTAGATGTATCAACACCGGCGGACATTAATATGTCAACATTTTGTATACAGGGTGAGAGTGAGCAAAAAATGTCAGAAATAGCATCAAATTTTAGAAAAAGTTTTCTTTTGTTCGAATTGGTCACCTTTGGCACGAATTATGGTCTTCAAATGGCCAATGAAACCGTCACACGCTGACCGAATGTTGCTGTGCGGTATTTTGGCCCGTTCCCGGCGAAGCGCTTGCTTGAGGTGATCGACACTTTGGTATTTAATGCCATTCTTGCTTTCCAAAATACTCCAGACACAATAGTCCAAAGGATTAGATTCCGAATATTTTGGTGGCCATTGTGCGCTGGAAATGAAGCGAAGAACCCCATTTTGTAACCACTCTTGGGTTGGGGCGTGCTGAATGCGATGTTACTGAGTCCTATTGGAATGTCCAAGGTCTGCGGCCAAAATGCTTGCGTGCCCAAGGCTTTAATACAACCTCCAGAATATTTTCGCGATAATATTTGGCATTTATTCTGATGCCACGGTCAATTAATACGAGCGGAGAGCGACCATCGGCTGTTATGGCGGGCGGCCCACACCATCACCATGTCCGGCGCTTGACTTCTGGTGGCCAACCGAAGGTGCACATTTTCAGCTGACCTCTTTGGCAAGTAAACACGATCATTTTGTTTGTTTACAAACTGCTGGACAACGAATATTTTCTCTTCAGAAAAAACCAAAATTTGGCAGTTCAGCACTTTCGGCCAAGCAATTCGAAGCTACTCTTTAGCTCTTATGAGTCTATTTTCTTTCTGTTGCGGTGTGAGTCCTTGCACTTTTTGACTTTTCCCCGAGCTCATTTTTCAATATTTGCCGAATGGAATATTGCGATATGTTCAGCTCACGAGCCATTTTTCAGCCACAGCGACGCGGGTTTCGATGAAGTCGCTTCTTTACTTGTCGAGCCATTTCTGCTGATGTTGCTGTTTTCTTCCGTCCACTTTCTTGACGTCGGGCTACGCTACCAGTATCACGGTAACGAGCGATGGTACGAGAGACAAAAGAGTTATTCACATTTAAATGCCGGAGTGCTCTAACGATAGCCACTTGTGGTTTTCCAGCCAAAAATGTAAATAAATCCCACTATCACGCTTGAATTCCATCACGAATAACTTTTTTTCTGGAAAATTCTCACCAAAATGCTTTTGTACGCTTGTAAACAATACAATGAGCTGTCACTGGAATAATTTTAACAGGTGTCGGACGAGTGCCTTAGAAATGACAGCAGTCTGAAGATGGTTGCAGGTTTTTCATCTCACCCTGTATATCATTTGATACGACCAAAGCGTGCTTAGTCGAAACAACGGATTTAGACCCTAGGTCTCTTTGGACCAAATCCATTTTAGCTCATTTAGAGTCAATCTAGCAATGACCGTCCGTCCACCCGTCTGTCTGGCTGGTGCAGAACTTTCGAAGGGTGTATTCGATTTGATCCATACTTGATACTTAGATCAAGTTCGGAGATGGGCAATACCGATTATCTTCAAATTACACACATCACATTCTTTATAAACCGAAGGTCTAGTGTGAAGATGGAATATATCGGTCCACTCCTTCTGGTACCTCCACCACAAAGGGTCAAAATTTTGAATATCTATGAAGCTCATAAAACATGTAATTCCTTCTGACCATTTCTTCCGGCACCTACCCCACAAAGGGCCAAAGTTTTGAATAACCAAAATGATCATAAAATCCGAAATAAGCACCCGGTTCTTTTCAAATTACACACATCGCAATATTTTTATTAATCCAAGGTCTGGTGTGATGCTGGGGTATATAGGTCCACTCCTTCTGATATCTCCCCCACAAAGAGTCAAATGAAGCTAATAAAACTTGGCACATCTGAATATTTCCATCAACACAAGATCTGTTATGAAGATCGTAGAAATCGGACCATTCCTTCTGGTACCTCCCCCACAAAGGTCAACGTTTTGAATAACAACAACGATCATAAAATCCCAATATTTTTATTAATCCAAGGTCTAGTGTGAAGATGGAATATATCAGACCACTTCTTCTGGTACCTTCCCCACAAAGGGTCAACATTTTGAATATCCATGAAGCTCATAAAACGGGAAATTAAAATCCGATTCCACTCAGACTTGGTACATCTTAATGTTTTCATCAGCACAAGATCTATTATAAATATGGCGCAGATCGGACCTTTTCTTCTGGTACCTCCTTCGCATAGGGTTCAAGATTTTTGAAAAACAAAACGCATAGAGAGCGAAGTAAGCATCCAACTCTTTTCAAATTTCACACATACAACACAAGATATGTTGTGAAGATGATAGATGTCTGCAAACCCCTTTTGGTACCTCACCCACAAATAGTCACAATTTCTAATACTTATATCTGTCATAATTTGCGAAACAAGTCGGCGATTCTTTACAAATTGCTATCTAAATATTTCTCTTAACCAGAAACCTGAGACGAATATGGAATTTATGATTTCGCATAAAATTCGATATAACTGTTTGATTTTCCTGTCATTTTGCCCATACCAATATTTATATCTGTATTCGATGAAGTATGAACATGAAATACTTCGGTCCGCTATATCTGTTACCTTGCGCATATTCCCACATTTTCCAAAAATTTGCATATATCTCATATAAAGTATACGGAGTAGTCGATGTGGTCCAAATCTGCCATATTGTAATATTTATATCAGTCTTAGGTCAGATACGAATTGGTCAATATTGTCCACCGGCTTCGTAACTGCCCCCAATAAAGGTTTAACAGTTTTAATAATCATAACTCAAGGCTGGGGATATATATCTGTCGGAAAACCGACTGATACTATTTTACTTCTTTTCTTTTAAAAAGTCCTCCATCAAAACCAGCTCATTACCAAATTTTATGTCAATATGCCATATTAAAGTCAACTAACCATTTTGTTTTAGCCTTACTTCACATTATAACATAACTATTTCATCATTTTTCTCTTCTCTTTTTAAATTTCAGGAACAATTAGCCGAATTAGAAGCAGCTTTTGCCAAATCGCATTATCCCGACATCTATTGCCGAGAGGAATTGGCGAGAACGACAAAATTGAATGAGGCAAGAATACAAGTAAGTCAAAACATCCTTTTTTCAATTTTCCAGCATTTGAGCTGAAGGAATAAAAATCGTAGCAATTTAAAAAAAAAAAAAGTCCAACAAATGGTCACATTCAACAAAATATCAGATTCCTTGCTAATGATGGGTGAACTGTAACCGATTAACAAACGAGCCTTGTTTTGTCGAGGCATGGCAAAGGGGTGTCGCTGTAAAGTGCATTTGTCAACAACAATGGAAACTAAATACTTCTTTAGTATTCCGCAGCATCAGCAGTAACAGCAGCAAAAACAAAACAATACAAACAATTCCTAATCGACTTTTATCAGTCCCAAGGGTGGTCATGGTGGTGTTGGTGGTGCTGGAATCCCCTCTGGCATTCCTTTTTTTACAAAAAAAAAGAAAACAATTCCAGCATTCACTTGGCTTTCATGTGTGCGTTTTCCCCGAGTACTGCTGCAGTATCTTGTTGTGCTTTTCTCTTTCTCTTTTTTTTTTCTTTTGCAATGCCCATTCAATTCAGTCCGACGGGGGAGGTGGTGTCCTGGCAGTGGGTTGCTCATGTTAAAAGTCCCTTTGCAGTCGGTAATTAATTTATAGTTTTATCTGAAATTCAAACATACTTTGGCGACAAATAAGCCAACTTTGTCGTCACATACTTATTGTCAGATTAGAAGCGAGCACTCAACACTGGGGCAACACCAATAGCACCACCACCACACCACCTCTGCAAATGAGATGGAATGGCATTGTGCTGCTCTTTGCCCTCTCTATCCCCGCAGCTCTAACGTTTCGGATTAGAGGGGAGATTGTTGTTGAGGATGATGGTTATGTTTTTTTTTTTCTAGGACTAGTTTATCGGTTGGCTTTTGCGGTGTACAATTACAGACAGAAATGACAAATGACAGCAAATAGGAATACATCTCCTTTGTGTTATATATGCAGTTTGTAGGGAGACAGTGGTTTGAGTGCCATAATGTCATCTGACAATGTAAGCAAAACTAGGAAGGTACTACAATTTTGGAAAATAAAAACCATTAAAGGTGGGAACACATAGAAAAAAATTTCAAGGCTCTATCAGACCATATGTTTTTTACATATCTAGTATCAAATTTTCTATGTATAGAAGTTGCACACATCGTGTGATCCATGGACGACATTTCCGTGGACCTAGTCACTTATAAAGTATTATAATTTTTTTATAAAATACAATATAATCACAATGTAACCAAATGAAAAAAAAAAACATGTGCATGTGTGTAATAACGAGAATTATGAGTCATATGTAAAATGACAATTTTGACATACAAACAGAAATACACATGGATAATAAAAGTGAGAAACATATAGGGTAAGATAAAAAACTGCAACAAAATCAAACGCCATAAAAAATGTCGGAAATAGCATCAAATTTTAGAATAAGTTTAGATTTGTTCGAATTGGTCACCTTTGGCACGAATTATGGCCTTCAAACAACCAATGAAACCGTCACACGCTGCCCAAATGTTGCTCTGCGGTATTTTGGCCCATTCCCGGTGAAACCCTTGCTTGAGGTAATCGAAACTTTGGTATTTTTTAGTGCCAACCTTGCTTTCCAAAATACTCCAGACACAAGAGTCCAACGAATTGGTATCCAGAGATTTTGGTGGACTTTGTGCGCTGGAAATGAAGCGAGGAACCTCATTTTGTAACCATTGTTGGGTGACGCGTGCTGAGTACGATGGTGTTGTGTCCTGTTGGAATGTCCAAAGTCTGCGGCCAGAATCTTTGCGTGCCCAAGGCTTTAGTACACCCTCCAGAATTTTTTTTCGCGATAATATTCGGCATTTATTCTGATGCCACGGTCGATTAATACGAGCGGAGAGCGACCATCGGCTGTTATGGCGGCCCATTCCAACACCATGGCCGGCGCTTCAGTTCTGGTGGGCAACCGAAAGTGCACATTTTCAGCTGACCTCTTTGGCATTTTGTTTGTCTACAAACTGCTGGACAACGAACGTTTTTTCATCGGAGAAAACCAAATTCGGCAGTTCACCACTTTCGGCTAAGCGAAGCAACTCTTTAGCTCTTTTGAGACTATTTTCTTTCTGTTGCGGTGTAAGTTCTTGCATTTTTTGGAATTGCAATGGCTTTACCCCGAGCTCATTTTTTCAATATTTGCCGAATGGAATATTGCGATATGTTCAGCTCACGAGCCATTTTCGGCCACTGTGACGCGTGCTTCGATCAAGTCGCTTCTTTACTTTTCGAACCATTTCTGCGGATGTTGCTGTTTTCTTCTGTTCACTTTCTTGACGGCGGTCTACGCTACCACGGTAACGAGCGATGGTACGAGACACAAAAGATTTTTTCACATTTAAATACTGGAGTGCTCTAACGCTTGTGCTCTTGTATGCATGTAAACAATGTAATGAGCTGTCACTGGAATAAATTTAACAGCTGTCGGACGAGTGACTTGGAAATGACAGCTGTCTGAAGTTGGTTGCATTTTGTTTCATATTACCCTGTATGTAAACGCTTTATCGTCTGATAGCAGCTTTGGAGGTTCAAGTCATCGTCTAGTATCTTCGGAAAAGAACAAGTAAAATAGTATCAGTCGGTTTTGCCGAAAGAAATTGAAATATTATTACTGAAACTGCTGACCCTTAATTTGTCGTGGTTGCGAAGCAGTTGACCAATATTGACCAATTCGTATTTGACCTAAGACTGATATAAATATTGCAATGTGTCAGATTTGGACTATATCGGCTACTTCCTTCACTTTATATGAGATATGTACAATTTTTTGGAAAATATGGAAATATGCTTGAGCTAACAGATATAGCGGACCATTTCATACTTTTTCATTTCAATTCTGGTTAAGAGAAATATTTAGATATAGAAAATTGTAAAGAATCGCCAACTTGTTTCGCAAGTTATGACAGATATATGGATTGAACATTGTGACCCTTTGTAATTGAGGTACCAGGATCTTGCTTTAGCAAAAATGTTTGCATGCGTGAGATTTGAAGAGAGTTGGCTTATTTCGCTTTCTTTGAGCGTTTTGTTCTTAAAAATCTTGAACCTAATGTGGAAGAGGTACAAGAAAAACGGTTCGATCTCTACCATCTTTATAACAGATCTTGTGTTGAAGGAAATATTGCGATGCGCCAAGTCTGAATGGAATCGGATGTTAATTTTGTGGTATATGAGACTTCATGAATATTCAAAATTTTGACCCTTTGTTGGAAAGGGCCGATATATTCCATTTCTAGCACTGATGCAAATATTAGGATTTGCAAAGTTTGAACAAAATCAGATTATACGTTTTCTTCCTATGCGGTAAATTATTTTCTATGAAAATTTCGACATTTTGTGGAGGAGATACCACAAGGATGGACCGATATTGTCCATCTCCGAACTCGATCTAAGTTTAACTATAAAATTACGATGTACCAAGTTTGGATCAAATCGGATACTCTACTACTACTCGGATACTCTACTATTAGAGAGTTATCGTGCGCACCAGCCAGCCAGACCGACGGACGGACGGACATCGCTAAATCGACTTCAAATGTCCGGAAACGGATTTGTTCCAAAGAGACCTAGGGTCTAAAACCGTTATTTCGATAAGGCTTGATACGTGCAAATACGAAATCTCAAACAATTTCGGTGGGTATTGTACCCTAAAATCGTCAAAATACCGAATATGGGGAGTTACTGACATATGGGGCCTATAAGGAAACCTGGGCCTGCATAGACAATTTTCTGTCACAGACTGTAGTACCTATTAGGAACTTCAAATACGAAATGTGAAACAACTCCAGTGAATAATGTAGCAAAAAACATCAAAATACCGAATATATGGAGATACCGATATATGGGGCCTATACGAAAGCCTGGACCTGCATAGACAATTTTCTGTCATAGGCTGTAGTGCCCATTACGCACTCTAAATACGAAATTTGAAACAACTCCGGTGAATAATGTCGCTTAAATCATTAAAATACCGAATAGTGGGAGGTACCGTTATATGGAGGCTATACGAAGACGTACAATTTTCTGTCATAAATACGAAATTTGAAACCATTCCGGTTAATAATGTCCCTAAAATCGTCAAAATATTAAATATCGGGGAGTACAGTTGTATGTGGGCTATACAATGTCGTGGACCTATATGGACTTTCTCTTTCAGGGGGGCAAAGTGCTTAGAAAGAACTTCTGGTATGGATTTGTAGACAATTCAATTTCCTTGAACAATTTTGCTACAATCATCAAAATACCGAACATCGGTAGTACCATAATATGGAGGCTATACGATACCATGGGCCGATATAGCCCATCTTCGAACTTGCCCTGCCTGTAGACAAAAGACTGGTCTGCGCAAAATTTAAGCTTCTTATCTTTATTCGCTTTGCCTCTAGCATGATTACAACAGACGGGCAAACGGGAGGGAGAATTTTACGCTGATCAAGAATATATATACTTTGTTAGGTCTATAATTATTATTTTGATGAGTTACAAATGGAAAGACGGACTTAATATGCCCTTCATACTAATATGATAGAAAACCACTATGCCAACACATTTACTAAATATTTCGATCTTCTAACCACTGTTCTGTGATAAGATATCACAACTTGTTCAATTGATTTCAAAGCCCCCTGTTCTACATACATAGTGTCGGCTCGTCCTTTTTCAAACAGATGTATATTCCTAGTTTTTGACATTGCAATTCCACACCCAAACCAAATGACATCCTCATTGAAGCGTAAAAGCCACAACAAGAAAAGGAAAATTGCAATACAATTGTCCTCTCGGCCTATCGAGGAAGAAACAAAAAAAAGGAAACAAGCTTACAAGCATTCATCATCACACATCATCCCCGCACTAGCAGCGGAGTAAATTAAAATGTAATCATGACAGAGGAGGCCTCGCTCGCTCTCTCTCCACTCCTCAATTTACTGTCAAATTACAGGGGTTGTCACTTGATTCGGCAAACCTACCGTATGTTTGAATATCGCAACACTCTATTA